CAAATAATAGTGGAAAGAAATATGGGTGCAGAGTTCTTTATAGTAAGAATTATATATGCATAATACTAAATTATAATTATCACAGGATTTGAAATATATCCACTGTTAGGGTTACCCAATCTGAAAAGGGAAAAAGGCACCTCAAACTGTCAAAAAAATGTAGACTTTTTTTCCTTCTTCCTATATTATATATGAAAAAGTATATCAAATCTGCCTTTTTCAGATTGGATTACATTGACAAAGAAGTGTCATTTTACAGAAAGAGACCATAGTAATGGGAAAAAGAAAAGAAATGGGTGATATGGAAAACTTCAATATGTTATGGCTGGTCTGTAAGGAGGATATTTTGCTAGTGATGAATGTACTAACTATATACACAAAAACACGAATACTGTACTGTATAAATTTCTCTTTCTGTCTCTCCCTTTCCATTTTCCCAGATAAATGAATAATGTAGGTTTTTAGAATATGTATTTTTTAATTTTAAAAAAGGTACTAACAAGATAGAAAATGGATTCATATGTCTTTTAGGAACCAATTTTTTTCTCTAAGTATTTTCAGTTTTCTTTAAATAAGGAATTAAATTATGATTTAATTAACCATGAATCAACAGGAAACATTTAAAGTTACATCTGGGGGGAGAAGAGATATTAACTTTATAATGCTACAGTTTTCTATTAAAAGATAAATTTTCTTAAGTTAAACTGGATATAGGATTGCTGTCCTGTGCTGCACGCATACACTCACACACACAGAGACACTTTTATAGAGTATTACTATACAGTCCTTCTGAGTTTTACACATATGTCTGTGTGCTTTACATTCCCTGAATTCAGTAGAGCCCACAGTTATGTAAGTGGGCATCCAATTGCAGCATAAAGAAGTAAATGACTTAATACATTATGTAAGATCTGTGTCAAATTATATTTGATATCATAATCAGATCATTATTATGTGTTTAGTGAGTCAATTTTCTAAAATAAATAAATAAAAAGTAAACAACAAAAATACTTTTTTATACTTAGAAAGAGCTCTTTTTCAGTATTATGACATCGTGAGTGATGATGTAGCTGAGATATTTTTCTTCATATATCAATTTTTATCCCCGTTTATTCCTCTTAGCATCAGACGTAATGCATGATAATACTTGAAAACAAACACATACACTTCACATGCACACACACAGAGTCACATATATACATGCATACATATGTGTGTGCATATATACACACACACATACACACACGAACATATCTTTGTGTGTGTGTGTGTATTAACAGGGATGAAGAACTTCTCTACTTGGACATTATCTCAGGTATTAAAGCTGATCAGTAGATGTGTGAAAATAGCAGGATTATATCACCCTAGATAAAAATCGTGTTCAGTCAAAAAGGGGATTTTTACAGCAGTATAGAGTGTGGTCTTCCTGTAAGCAATATTGTTATTTGATAGTTAAAATCCTGAGCACAAAAGAATTGTGGTCTTTACTTAAATGTTCTACTTACCAGTATTTTTGTTGCTCTCTTGAAATATGCTTGAAAAGTGACTGTACAAATCCTCCTGTGCTTTTCTACCATTTTATACATGTTAACCCTCAGCTAAGAAGAACTGAAAGAAGAACACTTATGTCACCCTAATTTTCTAATGTGCTTCAAGGAGTCACCCCCTGGAGATTGATCATAATTCTCATGCTGAATTGAAAGTCCAAATTAGAAAACAAGAAAAGGACTGATGATCATCTACTAGCTATCTTTCTTCTATCATCATACTCTAAGAGGGAAAAAAAAAGTTAATTAAGTGAGCATCTTCCTGGGCATCCTTCTGAAAGAGTTAGTCATGGATCTTTTTCCTTGGCCCAAAGCTTAAGATTCTCTAGTGAAGGTAAAGTATTGCTACAGAATATCAAACAGCATAATTCCCCACAATAATCCAAATGGTAAGATAGAACAATATGTTCCAATGGGAGATTTATCACATTTCTTGAAATATTTTAATAACTTCAGGAAACATCAGATAGAGGTTAAAAGTGCAGCAGGGACACTGCGAGGCATATGCAAATGTTCCTCAGAAAGCTCTTCTAGATGGTCTCCAGGTTAGCAAAAGTTTTGAATTCCTTGCTGAAATCTAACTCCCATGAGAGCTCTATGTCCTCTTAGAAATCCACTAATGATTCTTGTGACTATCTGAGGACAAGATGAATTAGAAACTATTAGAAGATTGTTGTTATTTTTCTTTCAAAGTTATCTAAACATATTAGAGATTTTGACAAAGAGCAATTGGTCCAAGACACAGGTTTAGGTTTTGGGGAAAACCGCCAACCTGCTTAAATCACAGATAATACATTTACTTTTAATAAATCCTCATTTCCCCTCCTATAGATTGAGAGATAAAGAGATAGAGATAGAGATATATAAAAATATAAATGAATAGTTGAATTTTAAATTACTATCATTTTGATATTTTTGTTTATTTTTTCCCACAGAGGTAATAAGGTGGGCTGTTCCCCTCTGAAAATTACATGTTTTGCTGTTAGGACAAAGTTCTATATGAATAGTTAAGATTTCAGTCCATTTTTCCTTCTTCTGTCCCCAAATATATAGAGGGAAAAAAAAAAAAACAGAAAAAATATGGAATGCAGTTCTTCCAGGTTTTGAAACACAATCATCCTTGTGAAATATTTCAGAGTTGCTGTATGAAGTATAACCTCACTCAGCTTCACTACTCATGGAAAAGTGAAATGGCTATGTTGCTTCCCTTTGAAATCTCCCTCGGCAGTTTTCATAAACACTTCCAGCTACTGGAGCAGGTAAATGAGATTTTGAAATGACCCAAGTGCAGTGGTCACTTTGTCTCCCTCGCAAAGTGAACTACTCCAACTTACCCACTCATTAGAATCCATCTTCCCATATGAAATTCAATTGCTCCTAGCACAGTTTAACACCTGGAATAATTGACCAGGTCAGCTATTGAAGGGGAAAATAGCTAATAAAACAGTTTGGTGTAACACAGATGTTTTCAGAGATGTTTCAGTTCTTAGTATAATGCTTGAGATAAAAATCATAACTTACTAAGGGGCTGAAACTGCAAACTCAATGTACCGGAGAAGGGGAATTTGGCCTCTTGATGACTCATGCCAGTTACTCAAGGCTTGGCGACTAAACAAATCAAAAGTTGAAAATGATAGGTTGGTATGGATATGGGCTGGGGCCTACTGTCCATTTTCCTGTAAACAAGACCCTTTTATAAGCCTTGTCACTTGCTCAGTGGCTAGAACATTGCATTTTGTCCCCTATGCAGTTCAATAAGTTGGCTCAAACAGATCAGGCGGTCTTTGCTTGTCCATTGGGTTGGGAGTTTTTTTCGCTTCCATTGGGGGGTCATCTGGGACTGAGTGGAATCCTGGGCGAGGCTAGGAAGTTTATTTAACTTGACTCAAGCAGATTGTCTGGTCTCCACTTGTCAAGAGGGTCATGGAATTTTTTCCCCTTCAGTCTTGTTTTGTCTGGCCACATGCTTGAATGTTGGGTTCCATTTCAATCTCCAATTCATACAAAACTATCTTATATAAACTCTAATACTACAGTGGTTATTGATCTGTGCTACTGTACAGATTGTCTAGCATGTTTTTAAATGTAACCACTTTAAATCCACAGAAGAAGTCAGTGGCACATTCTGTTAATTTGGAATAACTCAAAATATCTTTATACTAGGCTCAGAAGAATTTTTTTTTAAACACACACATTTCACTTCATTTAATGTTTAATAAAACAAATCAGTTGATACTGATACTGATACTCCTTTGGGCATGGATGAGATGACAAAGAAATTTTGATTACAAGTACAATACATTATACAATATAATAAGTTTATTGCAGTCATCAACCAGCACAAGTTAACTGGCACTCAACTATCCAAAATATCCAAAAATAAATTAACAATATCAAAATAATTAGGAAAATCACATACAGACAAAGAATTTTGGCTAAAAGACAATATTAAATCAAAATGTGTGAAAGGGCTTACTTGATAACAAACAATAGTAAAGCACCAGGACTTCATGGGTTTTCAGTAGAATGATACAAATAATTTCTTTAACAGTCAAATACGATTAGCTTGGTTTTAACAGAAGTGGACATGTTTCTCAGTATATATGAGTAGTATTGGATTTGATTGATCTGAATAAAGACGGAAAAGACAAAGCCACAATTTGACCACTTGAGGTGGAAAAATGTTATTCACAAGATCTATAGACTTG